CTATTTGAAGCAGGAGGAGAGCGAGGCTGGACTGAGCCAGTCTTCAAGAGCTTGGACTTAGCCCAGCTTGGCCCTTGCAGTTCTGGGACCGCATTGCTACTTTCATGATGCTGGCATCCCAGAGTTCCAGACGATAAAGCTTTGGATTCGGTTTGGTTTTGCCTTGAATTCTCATGAGCTTTCGATCAGGTCTGCTTCTGTACTCCTTTGTGTTCTCCTACAGGTAGCTGGTGAAGTCTTGTTGGAAGTCTTCTTGCAACGATGCGAGAGTTCGACACAAACCATTGAAACATCAGCCTGTCAGATCATGGGAGTGTGGGCGATCCAGACTGAGTTGGATCGAAATGAGTGGGAGGCAGGAGCGTGCTTTGCGATGGCCTCCAACCTAATCACTTGTGTAAGGAGTTGATTTTCTTCACGATTCTTGCAGTAGCATGCGCTTGCCAGACATGTCATGTTGCGGCAAGTTTGGTTTGCAGGATTAAACCATTTGGATGCCGGGGTGGACTAAAGTCCAGACTCCAAATCAATGTTTGACTTTCTAAAGGGGGATGTTGGGGGAGGGGAAGTAGGTAAGGATAGGTAAGGTATGAAGCTGTCGTAGCATAGCAGCTGTTTTAGCGATATGAAACTGCTGACACTACCGCCTGGACACAGAAGAGCCCTTCGCCTGATCGATTTGGTTCCTATATTTTTTTGGGAGGCCATCGCTAGTATATTGGAGGCCATTGCTATTAGTAGCAAGAAGCTGCTATGTTGGAGGCCATCGCTTGTAGGTTGGAGGCCATTGCTAAAGGTCGGAAGCGAAAGTCTTTAAAACACTCGAGTTGCCTCATGAAATGCTTCGTTTGCTTGTCCCCAGCAGTGATGCTGTAATTGTTGGTGCAGCTTCTCGGCTTTTTGTCAGGGTTCGCTACAGGCGCCACATTGGGGTGACGGAATCGCACAAAGTCTACAGTCCCGACGGCGCATTCGTTCTCAGTCCTCGACCGACTCGCTGTCTTTCTTGGTGCAGTTGGTTTGATGCAACGAAAGATGCCGTGGCACTTCAATCAGCACGACATCAACACGATACAATCATCGTCAACGAAACACCTATTTCGTTTTGCAGTCTCAGTAACACCGTCAGCCGTCTGAGCTTAGTGACGAGCTCACATCCTCCAAGCGCCTTATGAAAAAGTTGGATCCACGCGATTCTCCGTTCTGCCCCTGCCCAGTGTAGGAAGCGTGGATGTGGGACATCCCTGCTTGTCCCAAAATACCAGTCATGTCCTTGGGCTGGGCACAAAAATGACTTCGACAGATGTCTCGTGAAGGAGTGTGCCTGGCTTTTTTGCTTCCGTTACTACATTGGGAACACGATGGTATTCTTTTTCCACCGAGATGGCCAGTAGTAACAAGTGCATCGCTTCTAGTAACAAGTGCCTTACTGGTAGTAACAAGAAGCTAGTAGAAACAAGTGCATCGCTACTAGTAACA